TTGTCCGACTGCTAACACTAATCTCTTTCTTTACAGGTCCTTACGACTCCGACGAAGCCGAGACTCCCACTTCAGAAATGGCTGACAGAGCCCAGAAGATGAGGCGCCGACTGTCTCAACGCGCCTCGGGCGCCGCCGCTGCCTCTTCATCTTTCCCTTCTCCAGCCTCGAGGTCGACTCCTCCACCACCACGTACCGTGGTGGACCTGACGCCATCACCTGTCGTCTCGCCTTCCCGAGTGCTGCCTCCTCCTCCGTCTGAGAGCCCAAGCTCTAAGCGGCCAGTCGAGCAATCGGATGAGCCGGCTCCAAAGAGGATCCGGTTGGGCATCGAGCTGGATGAGGACGCCCAGATCTGGCAGGGCAGCTCTTCCGTCCGTTCCTGGGCTGACCACGTTCTTCTGCCTAAGGATGTGGAGATGACCGGCGCAATGCCGGACGAGTACATCCTCGAGGCCTCGCTTCGCCAATCGTACCGCGTAAGTGTTTCTGACTCGTCTTCTTTTTTTGTCCTTTTCTTCTTCTTTATCTGACCTCCTCTGTCCTTGTAGAACCTCACCTTCCAGATGGAGATGAGCAGGCGACCAAGGGGATACAAGACGAGACTGCAATCTCTATCCACCCGACTGCGCCAAACAGAGGAGGCTCATCTGGAAGAGCAGGCTAAGCATGCCAAGTCAGTGGAGGTGCACACCTCCGAGCTGCTGAGGGTTACTCATAAGTAGGAGGAGGAACGGGACAAGGTCGCGACTATTGCTGCGACTTCGGTGGAGGATTACAAGAAGTCGGCGGCCTTCGAGGCGGACGTGAAGGCGGAGGTGGCGGCTCGACAAAAGGAGATTGCCAAGGAGTGGCTGGCGACGCCGGAGGGGGATGACTACCTCCTGGACTTGGGCGAGCGCGGCTATCGCCTAGGTTTCCGCGAGGCTCAGACAGAAACTTACGCTGCCCTACTGGCCCGTGATTCCGCTTTTACCCCCGAGAGCTGGGGCCTCAAGCCAGTGCTGGACCTCCTGCCGGCGACTGCTGAGCCCGCGTCGACTGCAGATCCGGCAGCTCTTCCTGCGGCGGAGCCTTCAGAGCTTACAGAGCCGCCTACCCAGGCGGAAGACTCCTCACTTGTCCTTCCAGCTGGACCAACGGCGGAAGCTCGAGTCGAGGAAGTCGATGTTGACACCACTTTCCCCGTAGTTTAGGGTTTTCCATTTGGTAGCCCTCTTTTGTAAGGGTTGGCCCCCCTCTTGGGTCCTTTCATTAATGAAATCTTCTTTTTCTCCTTCCGACTGTCCTTATTTCTTTTCTGCTTTTGGTTCATAAGAAATAACTTAAGGCCTTGGGCTCTTCTACTTTGTTGGACCTCCGCGACCAAGGATCTCGTTTCCTATCTGTTCTCGCCGAGTTCCTCAGTAGAGGCGACTCCTTAGGCCTTTCCTTTTCTCAGGAACGGTTTAGGGTCAGTGCCCCGTTGTTTCTTTATATACTCGCCGAGTCCCTCAGTCGAGGCGACTCCTTTTGGCTTTTTCTCGGAAACGACTAAGGGTCTGGGCCCTTGCTTCCTATCTTTTCTCGCCGAGTCCCTCAGTCGAGGCGACCCCTTAGGCTTTTTCTCTCTTAGAAACTGCTTAGGGTCAGTGCCCCATTGTTTCTTTATATACTCACCGAGTCCCTCAGTCGAGGCGACTCCTTTTGACTTTTTCTCAAAATGACTAAGGGTCTGGGCCCTTTCTTCATATCTTTTCTAGCCGAGTCCCTCAGTCGAGACGACCCCTTAGGTTTTTTCTCTCTTAGAAACTGCTTAGGGTCAGTGCCCCATTGTTTCTTTATATACTCGCCGAGTCCCTCAGTCGAGGCGACTCCTTTTGGCTTTTTCTCGGAAACGAGTAAGGGTCTGGGCCCTTGTTTCCTATCTATTCTCGCCGAGTCCCTCAGTCGAGGCGACCCCTTAGGCTTTTCCTTTTCTCAGGAACGGTTTAGGGTCAGTGCCCCGTTGTTTCTTTATATACTCGCCGAGTCCCTCAGTCGAGGCGACTCCTTTTGGCTTTTTCTCGGAAACGACTAAGGGTCTGGGCCCTTGCTTCCTATCTTTTCTCGCCGAGTCCCTCAGTCGAGGCGACCCCTTAGGCGTTTTCTCTCTTAGAAACTGCTTAGGGTCAGTGCCCCATTGTTTCTTTATATACTCGCCGAGTCCCTCAGTCGAGGCGTCTCGTTTTGGCTTTTTCTCAGAAACGACTAAGGGTATGGGCCCTTGTTTCCTATCTTTTCTCACCGAGTCCCTCAGTCGAGGCGACCATTTAGGCTTTTTCTCTCTTAGAAACTGCTTAGGGTCAGTGCCCCATTGTTTCTTTATATACTCGCCGAGTCCCTCAGTCGAGGCGACTCCTTTTGGCTTTTTCTCGGAAACGACTAAGGGTCTGGGCCCTTGTTTCCTATATTTTCTCGCCGAGTCCCTCAGTCGAGGCGACCCCTTAGGCTTTTCCTCTCTTAGAAACTGCTTAGGGTCAGTTCCCCATTGTTTCTTTATACACTCGCTGAGTCCCTCAGTCGAGGCGACTCCTTTTGGCTTTTTCTCGGAAACGACTAAGGGTCTGGGCGCTTGTTTCCTATCTTTTCTCGCCGAGTGGAGGGTAACGATTGAGGATAGAAGGTGCTCTTTTATTAAGATCGAAAACTCGGGTACATGTCTAACCTCTTTACTGGTAGAATTTCTTCAAATGGATGACATTCCAGAGTCGGTCTACGGGTTTTCCTTCCAGGGTCTCGAACTTGTAGGTACCGGCCCGATCCACTGTTGAAATGTAATAGGGTCCTTTCCACTTAATTGCAAATTTGCCCCCTTCCGTGGGCTGGCTTGCCTGTCGGTCCCGCAACACGAGGTCGCCGACCTGGAAGGCTCGTGGGCGAATCCTCCGATCGCGATACCTCTTTACGGGTTGTTGGTATTCAACCATCCGGGCGCACGCAACCTCCCTTCTCTCTTCCAGGAAGTTCTTTTCAAATCTAAGGCTTTCTTCATTCTCTTCGTCGGAATAGCTGTGAACTCAATAGGTGGGCTCCACGACCTCTACTGGAACCTTGGCTTCAAAGCCATATGCTAGGGAAAATGGGCTCTCTCCAGTCGCCCGTCTTTGCGTAGTTCGGTAAGCCTAGAGGACCCGATCGAGCTCATCCGCTCAATTTTTCCCGATGTCCTCCAACTTCTTCCGAATCCTGTCTACTATGGTCCGATTCACATTCTCGACTTACCCGTTGGCCTGGGGATACGCGACGGATACCTTGGTGTGTCGTATATTATGCCGACGACAGAAGTCGGCGAAAGCTTGGCAGTCAAACTGTCTGTCGTTATTGCTAACTACGTGCTCGGGCAGGCCGAAGCGGCAAACCACCCTCTTCCACAGGAAGCGTCGACACTGGTACTCGGTAATGGTGGCTAGTGGCTCGGCCTCGACCCACTTAGTGAAGTAATCGATGGCCACTACACAGAATTTCAGGCTTCCCGGGGCGACTGGTAGTGGTCCTAACAAGTCGATCCCCCATTTAGCAAAAGGGATGGCTGTGGTGACCGGCGTGTAGAAGGTGGCCGGCCGAGTGTCCTTTCGGGCGAAGGCTTGACAGATGCTGCACTTAGCTATCCATTCCGTGCAATCTCGCATTATGGTCGGCCAGTAATACCCCTGGACGACTAGCTTCCAGGCGAGAGTGTGGGCCCCCTGGTGGGCGGCGCAGATCCCTCGGTGCGCCTCATCCATTATCCTCTCGGCTTCGGGCCTGAGTAGGCACTTCAAGAGGGGCCCCCCCGAATGACCGCTTGTACATTTGTCCGTCAATGATCTGGAATAAAGGGGTTTTTCGTCGAATCCTTGCGGCGACTCCTGGGTCATCTGGCAACTCGCCCGTTTCCTTAAACCGCCGGATGTCTTCTATCCAAAACATCTTGGGGTTTTTCTCTCGATCCCATTCCTCGATAATTACCTGTTGGACCTCCAACGGTCTCTCCTCTATACTTGGACGACTTAATTCTTCCTTTTGGCAAATCTTGGCGAGGTGATCCGGTATTCCCTCTAAGGCGATCTTCGATAATATGTCGGCCTCGATGTTGTCCACCCGGGAGATATGCTCTATTTCATATGTTCCGAACTCCTTCAGCATTTCTATCGCCTTCTCCTTATATTGGGTCATCCGAGCGTTCTTAGCTTCGCAGGTGCCGGAAATTTATCCCACCACTAACCGGGAGTCAGTTTTGATCCGCAGTCGTTCTACACCCAATGTTTTGGCGAGTCGAAGGCCGCCCAACATAGCCTCATACTCGGCTTCGTTATTAGATGTCGGGAATAAATAGCTTAGGGCATAGTAGAGTCGGAATCCCTCTAGAGTGATTAACATGATTCCGCCTCCACAGTGTTGTCGACTTGCCGCTCCATCCGCATGCATCTCCCACCATTCACCTGAACGGTCTTCCGTGGTGTGCTCTTTATCTTCTTCCCCTGCCGTGCATTCGACCAGGAAATCGGCCAAGGCTTGCCCCTTTATGGATGGTCGCGGTTGATACTCGATCCCGTACTGGGTTAACTCCACGGCCCATTTTACCAGTCGACCTGACGATGCGGGGTTTCGCAGTACGCTCCCTAGCGGCTGATCAGTCAGTACCCGGACGATATGGGCTTGGAAATAGGGCGCTAACTTGCGTACGGTGATTACCGGCGCGTAGAAAATTTTCTCCAAGGCTGTGTACCGTGTCTCGGCGGCTTTTAAGGAGCGGCTTACGTAGTATGCCGGGTGCTGGGTACGCTCTTCTTCCCGGACCAATACCGAGCGCACCGCCTTAGGGGAGGCGGCCAAGTACAAAAACAAAGGCTCACCCTCCCGTGGGGTGGACAACACCAGAGGTGTGGAAAGATACTGTTTTAGTTTCTCGAACGATTATTGGCACTCGGCCGTCCAGGCAAAGCCTTCCTTTTTCTTCATGGCCTCGAAGAATGGTATAGTCTTATCCGCCGCCTTAGTTAGGAAGCGACTGAGGGCAGCCAGTCGACCAGTCGACCAGTCAACCGTTGTAAGTTTTTGACGGTGCTGGGAGGCTGCATATCGATGATGGCATGGACCTTCTCCGGGTTGGGCTCGATGCCTCGTTTAGTCACCATGTATCCTAAGAATTTTCCGCCTTGCACCACGAAGGCACATTTCTTCGGGTTCAGTCGGATATTATACCTTAGCATCACTTGGAAGCAGTCGGCCAAATCTTCCGCGTGTTTGGCCTCTTCTTTGCTTTTGACCAACATGTCGTCCACGTAGGCCGCCATGGATTTTCCCAGTAAGTCTTGGAATAGCCGGGCTACCATCCGAGTATAGGTGGCCCCAGCATTCTTGAGTCCGAAGGGCATAACTCGGTAACAATATACCCTGTCTGGTGTAAGGAACGCGGTTTTCTCTTCGTCGGCCGGGTGCATGAAAATCTGATGATATCCCCTAAAGGCATCCATGAAGCTCAGCAGAGCCGACCCTGCTGTCTCGTCGACCAGCTGATCGATCCGCAGCAAGGGGAACGGATCTTTTAGGCAGGTTTTGTTAAGATCAGTGTAATCCATGCACATCCGCCAGGCTGGGGGCTTCGGTACGAGGACTACGTTCGCCAACCACTCCGGGTATTTAACCTCTCGGATGTGGCCCGCGGCTAGCAGCGTGCCCACCTCTTTCTTTACGAATTCCCTTCGGTCATTGGCGAGATACCGCTTTTTCTGTACGACCGGCCGATGGTCCGGATCCACGGCGAGTCGATGGCCGATGATGGACCGGTCGACACCTGGCATATCCTCTGGCCCCCAGGCAAAGACCAGCCGATGCTTTCGGAGTACTTGGATAATTTCCTCCCGAGTTTCCCTGGGGAGACCGATCCCAATTCTGACCAGCCTGTCCGGCCGTTTGGGGTTGATCTCGATTTCTTCTAATTCCACGGCTGGTTCCGGGCGGGGTATCATTGCTTTCTTTGGGGGCTTTTCCGTGATTTCGTGGACTTGCATTCCACGCTTGGCCATCCCCCTACAGGCTTGCAGGTAGCAGGCACGGGCGGCTCTTCTATCGCAACGCACCGTTCTTATCCCGTTCGGCGTGCGGAATTTCAAGCAGAGGTGCTCGATGGAGATCAGTGCTCCTAGATCCTCCAGGCCCAGTCGACCGAGTATAGCATTGTGTGAGCAGGCTAAGTTTACCACGATGAATTTCATGCTGAGCTTCTGTACGTCGGGATAGCTGCCGACTTCCACCGGCAGGGTGATGGGTCCCTCTACTTCCACCGAGTCTCCCGTGAAACCGGCGAGTGGTGTCTTGACTAGATTCAGCTGTTCTCGAGTTAATCCCATCTTTGTGAAAGTGTCGAGGTATAGCACGTTGACATTGCTTCCGGTGTCGACCAGGATTCGTCGAACGATAACTCGATTTACGTCCATCGCTATGACCAGCGCATCTCGATGCGGTGTCTCCCTCGTGGGCAAATCTTTGTCAGTGAACGTGATCGGCTCCCGGCACGCCTTCTTTGAGCTTTCTTCGCGCCCGTACACTGTCCCGACGTACAGTTGTCGAGCCCAGGCCTTTCTGGTATTCGCCAAGTCGCCGCCTTCCGGCCCGCCGACTATCATGTTAATAACTAGCCTCTGTCGCCACTGGGCCTCGTCATCCTCAGTGGCCGGCCGTTTGCCCCGGCTACTCTCGGCGGCGACCGCGGGGTCATCGTCCTCCCGTGCGACTGACCTTCACCTCCACTAATTAGGAGGCGGGGTCCCTTGTTGGATGATTCCTTCCATGACCTTTTTCAAGTAAAAGCGCTCCTCCGTGCTATGAGTGTAAGATTTATGATAGCGGCAGTACTTAGAATTCTTACCTGTCTCTTCGTTCGCCACACGCTCGTCAGTCGGCGGGGGCGGAGGCGGAGCGACCGCTTGAACCTCGTGTACTGGGTGTTGAGGAACCGCCATATAGGGATGAACCATAGGCTTGTCGTAGGGACGCCTAGCGTTGGGTCGCCGAGCCCCTTCCGGGCGCCTTTCCTTGATTTCTGCGCGGGTCCTCTTTCCGCCGGTGGATCCTCCGACTTCGCGTTGCCGTTTATACTTCATGGCCTGCTCCGTGTTAGCCCTTTTATTGGTCATGTGTATGGCTTCCGCGTAGGTAGCCGGGCGGTTATCCCGTAGATCCCGGTATAGATGCCCGGATCGCAAGGACTCGATGAAGAAAGTAAGCGCGGTCTGATCTTCAACCTCCTCGATAGACTGGATCTCCTTTTGCCATCGAACCAAGTAGGCCTTCAGAGACTCACCTTCCTCTTGGTGGACGTCTCCCAGGTGAGTCAGATCCTTTTGTGGTTTGATGTTGGCTGCGTAATGGCTCATGAAGCAATCGGCCAGCTCCTCGAAATTGTGAATCGACTTCGGAGGCAGCGCCACTAACCACCTTTGTGCCGAGCCTTTCAGCGTGGGCAAGAAGGCGCGACACATCACCGGGTCCCGAACTCCCAAGACCTGCATCTTGGCTTGATAGCTAAGAAGATGCTCGCGTTGGTCTCCAGATCCGTCGAAGGTGGCTTGTTCCGGGAATTTGAAGTCGCCGGGCACTTTGTAGGACATGATCTCGGAGGAGAACGGCAAAGCGGTGAGCAACGTCTGCCCAGGGGATTTGGTCTTTCCCCCCATTTGTAATTTCATATCTCGTACCTCTCTGGCCAATTGGGCCACATTGCCTTCATTGCGAGTGTGGTTTCATGTGGATTCCGTACTTTCGCCGACCTCTGATTCAGCCGGTCGGTCATCATTGCGAGTTATGCGCTCGGTCCGTCGTGTCCGAGTCTTAGTTCTCCTGGTGCGAGCTCTTTCCCGACCGGTTTCCCGATCTTGGGGCCCTGCTGGTGCGCGGCTGGGCTCCCTTTCCCGTAGTCGCTCTCGTGCTGGCTGTCGCCCGGTATTCGGACCCAGCCTCGAATGGACCGATCGTACTGGCTGGCTCTCCGCCCGTCGATTTTCCTGTCTGTCTTCCGGCCTCTGGGACGGTTGTTGATGGCGAGGCATCGGTCGAGAAACTGAGTGCTCCCTCACTCCTCGACTTGCGTCGGCGAAGGCTCGCCCAATCGCGTGGAGTTGTTCCGGGGTGAGGGGTATCATGGGTGGCTGCCGGTTCACCAGTGCCGTTTCGTTTTCCTGACTTTGAGCGTTTCGTTGATTCAACTGATCTCTCAGATCTGCCTCCACTCCATCATTACGGTTGTTCGCTTGGTCTCGTTCTTCCGACATGCTTGTGACGCTTCTTTGGTCGACTTCAGGACTCGCCCTACTCAGAGAGTCACGTAGCTCTTTGTTTCGATCCCCACGGACGGCGCCAGTGTTGGTTTTTGGGTTTGCGGGCCCAAGGAGGTCCAACACAACCTTTGGTTGGTGGATTCACCTTTCTCAAAAGTGATCGCAAAAGATGAGTAATCGGATAGCTAGGGAGTGTGTATGTCTTATTCTCTGGGCCTGGACTTGCCCTTCTTACAGAGGTGGTGAGGCCTTTATATAGTAGGCTTCTCTCCGTCCGACTTGAGGGACATTAATCATGGCTTTTAAAGCTAATTACAACAATTAAATTGTTGGGCGCCGTTACCGGGCCGGCCAACAGCTCTATGGATTCATAACTGCTTGTTTGACCGAGCCGGCCAACGGCTCCTGGTCCGACTTAAAAGCTACGCTTGGAACGCCTCTCAACGGCTCTCTTGGCCGAGTCTTCTTAACGGCTCAGGGTCGAGTCTCTATACGCGCTTGGGCCTAGGCCGACTCCTAGACTCGGCCCGAGCTTCTCTTCGCTACTGGCCCATATCTTCCTTTCTGGACTCCTCTCTTGGGCCCTTCTTCTTGGGCCGGGGTCCTCACCCCATCACTGGGTATACCCAGAAAAAACAAAAAAAAAAAAAAAAAAAAAAAAAAAAAAAAAAAAAAAAAACTCTTCAACCCTTAAATAATACATTTTGATTTAAAAGTATTACGTTTTTTTTTCCTAATAAGTATTATACTTTCCCTATGAGTAATAATCAATTTTTTTTATAATCAATTTATTCATGCTTAGTATTACACTTCTCTTTATAAGTATTATGTTTTCCAAATAAGTAATAATCAATTAATTTATTCCTGATTAGTATTACATTTTTTTCATAGTAACTTTTCAACCTCTAAATATTATATTTTGATTTAAAAATATTTCATTTTTTCCTAATAAGTATCACACTTTCTCTCATGAGTAACAATCAATTTATCTCTTATTAGTATTACATTTTATGTCATAAGTATTACATTTAGTTCTAACTTAACCCGCCTTATAAATCATTTTCCGTGATATGAATTTTTGTTAGAGTTGATTAACATAAACTAATTGGATAGAGATCGGCAAAGAAGAAAACAACAACAACAACAACAATATTATTATTATTATTATTATTATTAATTGAAAAAACTCCATGGCTAGAGATCAAATTTAGGGATGGCAACGGGGCGGGGTGGGGCGGGGACTATACTCCCTGTCCCCGAAACCCCGACCCCGTCCCCGGCGGAAAATTGAAAATAGTCCTCATTCCTGTCCCCGCGGGGAATTTGACGGGGACGAAAATTCTCTATCCCCAATCAACTTTTAGTCAAAAATTTTAAATTAGTGTAATTTTTAGTTTGAAAAATTAAAAACTTAAGTATTAATTTTTAAAAATTAATATATATATATATATATATATATATATATATATATATATATATATATATATATATATATATATATACTAGTTTTGTACGCGCATTGCGCGATTGGGATAATGCCCAATGTTTTTTTTTTAAATAAGTACTTTAAAGTATATTAAGGGAGGATTATATTGAAATTGTTCATGCATAGATAATTGAAGATTGAATTTGCGTATTTAAATAGTTGAGTCCCCAACCCCAAGGGCCCCCCACACTCCGACCTGACAGAGCATTGTGGGAAGTTGTAAATCACGGTGACTCAATGGTTCAGCAGACAGGGCTAAATGCTGATACGCACAAGGAATCTGCCCACTTTGGACATAATTCCCGCATTGCCGCTGCCGAGGTTCAAACCTTGGTCTCTTCTCCCAAATACTACCCACTAAACCATTGAGCTAAGCCCGTGCGGGTTAAATAGGTAATTCTAAATTTACAAATGCAAGATAATATAGTCAAGATTGATTATAATTGTCAATAAAATAATTGTATAGGTATGGTTGAAACCAAATACGGGACATAAGGGAAAACAAATAAAAATTAGGGCATAAAATATTAAATATATACTAATATTGTTTGAGGAGATTCTGACATTAGGATTTGTGGTTAAGTTCTATTAAGACTTTAATATTAGAATTGGATTAATGGTGTAGTTATAATTCTATATTAGACTTTAATATTAGAATTAGACTAACGGTGAATTAACGGAAAAGTTAAATGGATAATCATATAATTAAGGATAAATTATAAAATCTTAAATGAAAAAAATTAAAACCTGAACAATATGAACCATTCATTTGATTTAATAATTTGGCGGTCATTTTTTCTACCCAATGTTAATAATTAAATAAATTCGCTGGTCAAATCTGCTAGTATAATCCGCTAACGCTAACCTCTAACTGCTGATTGTCAAACAAGGACATTGCGAGGTAGTTCTCACTTCAATTTGTTGTGTGATTTGAATACTCTCTTTGTCACAAAATCTCTCAAGTAGTTAATATGGTTGGTTTTATTAATTATATTTTTTTAAAAAAATTTTTCATGGTATTAATAAAATACTTGGTAAATAAATATACAGCATTATTTTGTATTATAACTTTGATATTTAATTAGAAAAGTAGTGCACAAAAAAGATAATAGATAATGTAGTGAATATAATCAATTGATGAATTTGAATGTAAAATTTTTTACATTTGAGAAAAATAAAGACAATATAACTAATGAAAATATTTCTTTTAATTAATTTATTGATAATTAATAATTTTTTTTCACTGAATAAAGACATTGTAAGGATAATGTAGCGAATATAATCAATTAATAAATTTGAATATAAAGAATTTTTATATTGAAGAAAAATAAAGACAATATAACTAATAAAATTATTTCTCTTATTTAATTTATTGATAATGAATAATTTTTTTTTGAATAAAGACATTGTGGACACATAATTCTAAATTAAAGAAATGCATATGTATTATTTTTCGTTGTAACTACTAAATTATTATTTATATAATTTAATAAGAGTAAAATAGAGTACTAATTATGCCAACTTTGTTTGGGATGAGGTTCGAACCTAAGACCTTTTTTTATTGAAATCAATGAGTAAGTTAACGATGAACTAACGGCCATTCTTAAAATTTTAACAGAATTAGTAACGATGTGTGGGTATTTTAGGAAATTTTAGTGTAAAATTTAAATCTGATCAATCTTTTAATCAATCTGAGCCATACATTTGATTAAAATCTGTGACCGCCATTTTTTCTACCCATTATAGGCCTAACTCTCTTGGGCTCTTATTAGTATACTAGTTTTTTACGCGCATTGCGCGATTGGGATAATGCCCAATGTTTTTTTTTAAAATAAGTACTTTAAAGTATATTAAGGCAGGATTA